GTGGGACCCGGGGCTGAGATCTCCAAGCCTGCACAGTTTGGGACTGGACCTGCCAGTAACTAGACAGTTACACCCACCAACTGCCGTGTAACTCCAACAACGGCCAGGATCCAGAGATCATCACACTCAGCTCCTGGGAGAGAACAAGACAGAGTCTCCTACCCTATGCCTGACTGTCTCTACCAGGGCCCAACAGCTGAAGACCAACGAGGCCCAGCCAAGGCCATGCTGGGAGCACTCTCCACACACTTGGATGAGCCTCACGCATAAAAGAACTGACAGAGGAACCCAGGTGTGTGGGACCCGGGGCTGAGATCTCCAAGCCTGTACAGTTTGGGACTGGATCTGCCAGTAACTAGACAGTTACACCCACCAACTGCCGTGTAACTCCAACAACGGCCAGGATCCAGAGATCATCACACTCAGCTCCTGGGAGAGAACAAGACAGAGTCTCCTACCCTATGCCTGACTGTCTCCACCAGGGCCCAACAGCTGAAGACCATCGAGGCCCAGCCAAGGCCATGCTGGGAGCACTCTCCAAACACTTGGATGAGCCTCAGGCATAAAAGAACTGACAGAGGAACCCAGGTGTGTGGGACCCGGGGCTGAGATCTCCAAGCCTGTACAGTTTGGGACTGGACCTGCCAGTAACTAGACAGTTACACCCACCAACTGCCGTGTAACTCCAACAACGGCCAGGATCCAGAGATCATCACACTCAGCTCCTGGGAGAGAACAAGACAGAGTCTCCTACCCTATGCCTGACTGTCTCCACCAGGGCCCAACAGCTGAAGACCATCGAGGCCCAGCCAAGGCCATGCTGGGAGCACTCTCCACACACTTGGATGAGCCTCACGCATAAAAGAACTGACAGAGGAACCCAGGTGTGTGGGACCCGGGGCTGAGATCTCCAAGCCTGTACAGTTTGGGACTGGACCTGCCAGTAACTAGACAGTTACACCCACCAACTGCCGTGTAACTCCAACAACGGCCAGGATCCAGAGATTATCACACTCAGCTCCCGGCCGCGCGACATCTTATCATCTCATTCCTAATTCGGTCAAACTGGCAGGCTACCAAATGTAACATGCCCACACGGCAGAGTCTGGCAAACTCCCCGTGGTATACCCAATATGCCAAATACCAGTAACAATAATGGGTCTCATTCTCCTAACCCTGAAAAAGCCTTGAATATGGCACTTAAAAAAAAAAATCTCAGGGCTAGGATGAAGAAGACGTTACTGGCACCTGCTCGAGGCAATCGACGAACAACAGGGTGGTCGTGATCGTGAAGTTTTTTTTTAATTTCATTATTAAGAGATGTTTGCAGACCCCGCCACAGTCTAAGTCTCATATCTGGGGTACCCCAGAGGGGGTAGGGTGAGTCCACCACCTACCCAAACAGCCCCAGCTCCGAAACTCAATCACCGCCATGCTCTCTGCTGGACTCCACAGGTTTGGGACAAGCCTCATCCAGAAATGACGCTATTGAAAAACTCGGGTATGCAGGTTTGTGGCCAAAGTAATCTCCAGGCTTTCATGGATTCAGGGATGGGCTACCTTTCCTATACCCCTTTTCTTCCAGGAACCTAGTGGTCATGCCCATGAACTATCTCTGGGATATGAGCTCATTAACAGGTCATGATCCAGAGACTCATAAATAAATCTCAAAAGAAATAAACAAGCTGCAGAGATCCTTCTGGACCCCAAAGTCAGCAGTCATAGTCACGGTCTTCCCGTTGTTCATCGATTTGCTTGAGTGGGCCCAGTAACATCTCTATCATGAGACTTGTTGTTACTGTGTTTGGCATATCAAATACATCACGGGTAGCTTGCCAGGCTCTGCTGTGAGGGCGAGATACTCTCGGTAGCTTGCCGGGCTCTCCGAGAGGGGCGGAGGAATCAAACTCCTGTCGGCCATGTTGGCTGCATGCAAGGCTAATGCCCTACCCGCTGTTCTATCGCTCCAGCCCCCAAAGTCAACATCCAGTTGAAAATTTAATTGCAGCTGTATAACCCCATTAAAAAGTTTAGAATTCCTGGAGCATGTGTCCGCACAACATCTTATACTCTATAACTCTGATACCAGGAATAGCACACCTCAATGGATGGGATGTAGAGTAGAAGGCAACCATCTTGATTAAGAAAATATTAATATATAAGGTTTGACCTGTAACAACATGTTAGTACTATCTTATACAACGGCCTAATGGCTCCAGGGTGAGAAACAACAATCTTCACACACTCTTTTCTAAGGAAATTTTTTGGATCATTTTTAGCAAATTATTCTTAACAAGCAATACAAAATAAATTATTTAGGGTCTGCTATTGGGGCAGGCTTGACTGGTGGTTGGGAAAATTGTAAATAATGGTGGTGGGAAGGCGTAATGGTGGTGGAATTGGTATTGGAGTATTGAAGGTAATAAATCATCGTAAACAACTATAAAAATAAAATATTTTTTAAAAATTTTTATAGTTGTTTTAGAAATCAGGTACACATGTCTTATATGCACAAGGCCTTTAGTTCCAATCTCAGCACAACATAGTCCTTCAAACACCTCCAGGCATAGGACTGGTAGAACCCAAACTCAGCCTTAATATAGTCCTCCTCAAGTTTTCCTTGAGTACAACCCAGGACTTCAAATGCACTGATATCAGGTTCTTTTTATGTGGATCAGTAGTAGAGCTCTTGTTTTGCATGTTAAAAAATATGGGTTAAATCATAGGAACCACAAAAGCAAAAATATACATTGGTTTTAGGAAATCTTCACATATAAATATAATATTGTAAAATATAATAAAGAAACATAAAACTTGGGAATTCACATTAAAAAAATAATTCCATCTTCAATTAGTGCCCTAGATATAAAATATGATGCAGAAAGTTTCATATTTAATAATTTCATTAAGTGCTTTCAGGAGATATAGTTATAACAAGATTTGAATTGGACAAAGATAGGAACTGAGATTGTGTAGTTGTAGGCAAGACTTTAATCTTATACATATTTTTGAAAATTTAGTTTTCTTTATTAAAGCAAGAGAAAAGTCATTCTCCCCACGCCAGCACTTATTTCCTATTTAATATCCATGGAACACTCCTTGGAAACTAGTGGCATGCTGATAATAATTTAAAAACTAGTACTTATGAAGATTAAAAATTAAAAACAGCTTATTTTGTAGACTTTGCTGATTTTCTTGTATTACCACATCAGCTACTTACATATTACAACCATAAAATTAATGGTTACAAAGCTGGAAATGGAGACTAAATAATATACCATAAAATACAATGGACATTGATAAATTAAGAAATAAAAATAATATTTAACAAAAATAATTAGCAAGTGGTTTCTCATTTCTTTTATTTTGTCCTAATTACTTGTAATTTTACTTATTTCAATTTTCAGTAATATCTCTTCATTTTTTCTACTATCACAAGGTTGACTCAAATGGTTTCAAAACCTGAGTACAAAGATCACTGTTGACTCTCAATATAAATGAAAGAAACAACTACAATCAGCATGTCAATTGAGCATACTAGCAATAGGTATAATGGTTATGAAAATAGGATCTGGATAATGCACTCTAGAATGTACTATAATCTAGCAATGCAGTGGTCAAATGTTCTTCTTTCTCACAGTATATTTACACAGTGGGAAAGAAAATTGTGACATATTGATAGCACAGCGGGTAGGGCGTTCGCCTTACAAGCGGCCAACATGGCCGACCCGAGTTCGATTCCTCCACCCCTCTCGGAGAGCCCGGCAAGCTACCGAGAGTATTCGATATGCCAGACACAGTAACAACAAAGTCTCCAATGGAGACGTTACTGGGCCCGCTCGAGCAAATCGACGATCAACGGGGGGGCCTTTACCTTATTGTCTATTAAAGCCATGTAATAAAGAGAATAATAAAATATTTGTACACTGTGCTTTTCTATAAAGACACAGAGAATTCCTTGCTCATTAGATCTTGAAGCTAAGATTTATTTATATAAATGAAAAAGAATCATTATTTTATTGAAAATTATGCCATGATCCTCTTTTCTTTCTTTTACTTCTGTTTACACATTTGACAGTTGTGCTAAGGTAAAATTTTAGTACATTGAAAAAAAATTTTTACATGTATGTGATTAGATAATTCTAGTAAAATTCCAACACTATATAGTAAACACAATACACATATAAGACAATTATGTTACTACCAGATCTTTCAAGTACCCATATTCACTTACCTTTTTTCCCCAACAGTTACTGATCTATATTTTGTTTATACATATTTGCCTTCATTGGATATGTAACATAAATGAGAAGACACAGCATATGATCTTCTATGTATAACTTTTCTCAAAAACATTTTCTCTGGAGTTCATTGATAATTAAATATGTAATAGCACTTTATTTAGATTTTACTCAAATCCATTCTAACCCAAGTTTATCTGTTCATAAAATGATGAAAATTTGAGTTATTTACAACTTCTATTTATAAATGTACTGCTTCAACTTTGACAAGAATCCTATGCATTCATTTTTATATTTCCTCTCTTTATATATATATGTCTTTTATTCAAGCAAATGATGAGTGAATACTTCCCCCAAAGTTATTACATTGTCATTTTGTTATTATTAAATATTAAGATAAAATTATTAAAGTAATTTCAAACTTTTAACTATTGATATTGTGTAATATCTAAAAATCTTAGTGAAAAAGATCTTAACTTTTTAGTTAAAAGATAGTTGATTTTTATAATTTTGATTACTTATCTTTAGGTTTTTAGAACATGTACTTAATTTTCTCCTTGGTATAAGTAAAAGTCTGAATTCACCAATAATCCCCCAAAATTTCATCATCACTGTCCACATTACTAGTTTTAAATAGGAAAACTCAAAGATTATTTGTCTGTTATTCTCAATAGCCTCATTTCTAGTCCAATTTCTATGAGGGTAGATAAATTCTACGTCTTAATATGGAAGAGAAGCATCTAACAAACCTTCCAAAACCTAAATATCACTCTTGAGAAAAATTCTCAGGAATCGCTCCCTAATCTGCTTGGTTCTAACCCCATAGATCACGGGATTGAGGGCAGGTGGAACAACTACATATAGATTGGCTAATAATATGTGGATATATTGGGGAACATTGTGGCCAAAGCGATGTGTTAAGAAGGAGAAAAATGCTGGTGTGAAAAAGGCTAGGATAACACCTATATGGGAGCCACAGGTGTTAAGAGCTTTCAGTCGGGCTTCCCAGGAGGGGAGGCAAAAAACAGCATAAAGAATCCTGACATAGGAGAGAGTAATAAGGAGGACGTCTAATAACAAGAGACAAATGTTGCTTAGTCCAAAAAGAATATTCACTTTGATGCTAGCACAGGCTAGTCGGGCAATCCCCATGTGCTCACAATAGGTATGAGGAATGACATGGTTCCCACAGTAGGGCAGCCGCAGGAGGAGAAACACCAAGGGTGCTACCATGTACAGGCTTCGCAGAATGGCAATGCACGCTATAATTGCAATGATTTTGTTGGTGAGAATCATAGTATAACGCAAGGGTTTACAAATGGCAACATAGCGGTCAAACGCCATAGCCACCAGCACGATGCTTTCCATGACAGTGAAAAAATGAATAAAGAACATCTGGGAGAGGCAACCTCCAAAAGAAATATCCCTGAGTTTGAACCAGAAGATTCCCAGCATTTTGGGGATGGTGGCTGTGGATAAGCCCAGATCAATGGAGTCCAACATAGCCAGGAAGTAGTACATGGGTTCATGGAGACTTTCTTCTGCCTGGATGACAAAGAGGACAACAGTATTACCCAGAAGTGCAATGACATATACAAAGAAAAAAGGGAATCCAATCCAGACATGCATATGTTCTAGCCCGGGGATGCCAAGTAAAAGGAACGAAGATGGATGGAACTCGGTGTCATTAGGTATGAACATTTCTTCTGTCACAATGGAATACAGTAGACTACAGTGGCTATTGAATTCTCATATAGTGTTTATCCACTTCTCTCTTCTTGCAAGAATTTTTAAATGAAGGGTAAAATGAAGTACAACTTTCTCCACACTTGCTCTTAGTTTTCTTTAGATTCAGTTGAATATCTCAATTTTGTAATGTGAAATTATCAGCAGTAGCTTTGTCTTTCACTAGAAGAAAATATATAATTATTAAGATTTTTTCCTTAGTTTTCCAATTTTTCCATAAAATATTTTTGAAGTCCTCTTCCATCTTGATTAAGTAATTTGAATCTAAGTTTTAAATAAAACTGATCATATAACGCCATTAAGACTGTGACATACCACAGTACAAGAAAAGAATTCCAGGGCCTGAGCCACAGCATTTGTTTTGCAAGTGGCTTCTTTGTCTGGGACCCTGGTTCAACTCCTGAATCCGAGAGAGCCCCCTAGAACTGCTAGAAGTAAACTCTGAGCACAGTAGTAGGAGCAATCCATGAGCACCACTCACTATATGTGGCACAATAACAAGCAAAAAAGGGAACAAATTCCAAAGATAAAATTTGAAAACTGCTTTCTAAGTACTATGTAGAAATATATACAGGATGCTATACATGTAGCAGTTGGTTAAAAAAAAATTTCATAGTGCATGTTAGATAAATACCAATAATTTTATAACAATTATTTTTAAATATATTGTAAATATAAAGAGCATAATGGAAAAAGTGGACATAAAAAGTAATCTGTCATATTTTCATTTTATCCAAGAATTCAGTTAGATTGATGGCCAGATTTTTAATTTTCTGTGTTTGGTTACTGTTGGACTACATAAAGATGAAACATTGAAATAAAAATAAATAAATAAATAAGTGGTCCCACTTCTGTGGGTTTTCTAGGAGGTCTAGAAAACTGATGCTTTCCTTATCTTTTATAAAATATAATTCCCAAGTCTGTAAATACTTTCAAAACAGCCAATCATGGGAATGGGAAGAAAGTACAGTGGCTAGGGCACTTGCCTTACATATAGCTTACTGAATTCAACTCCTGGCACATCATATGGTTCTCTCACACACCATACGGTCTCACAGTGCAGTAACCTCTGAGTACTGCTGGGCGTAGCCCCCAAACTAATGGAAACCCCAATCATTTAATCATTCTACAGTGCATTCTGAGCAATTATTTGAAAATATATTCTTATATTGTTTCATATATATTCTGAAATCGAACTCAATTCTATTCCCTATTGATCCCCTAATTCTAATGCACAATATTGTTATATCCACTTCCGCAGAAGTCATTTCCCATTTCTTTTATGAACTATCTTCTAACGCTAATTTTTTCCAACAACATCCACCAATTCCCAAATATCCTTATTTTATTTCCTAAAACTAATGATCAGAATGAGAAAAAAAATACGCAACTACTTTATTATCCTTGCTTAACCTTAGAGTTTATATCTTTTCTGCGATTACACATTTAATAGTGATATTTTACTGCTGATATAATTAAAATATTAGATTTACAATAGTGTTGATTTCTATTGTCTTGATGTCTGATTATAGCACCAAACCACCACTGATGTGCTCAATACCCTCTACAAATGTCTTTATGTTACTTCTAAGCAACCTCTTAAGTATACCACATCCTCCCCCACAGATCGGCGACTTTAATTTTGCAATGCAAAGTCAAGTTTTAGTCATTATTCATTCTATTCCCTTGCTTTTTGTTTCACTATGTCTGAGTGAGATCATTAGGTATTTGTCCCCAACCCTCTGATTTTTTTTCATTTAACATGATACTCTCCAGTTTTATACTTTGTTTCTTTCTCAAATGCTTCATTAACCGGCTCTGTATAATATTTTCTCGAAACCTAGCTCTGAGGAACATGCTTAGCAATCTACTTATTCATTAATTCTTTAAACCAAAAACATCAATGGTCTTTATATCATGTCTAACAAGCTTCCAGAAAGTAGCTAATGCTAGTTATTATTTGTCCTTGCAATTCACGTTTGCACACTTGAATACAAGAAAGAAACAACCACTAAATCAAAGAAGCATGCATTGGTGCATCTTCTTCCACATGTTTAGTATTGCACATAAAATTTTTTAGTTATAGTGTAATTACATGTAGTAAATGTCTTTACTTTAGAAAACATTTACATTGGTGGAGGGAATATCTTCACACTGGTGAAGAAATCGGTGTTGAAACACTGTAAGCTAAAACCCAATCATGAATAACGTTTTGTAATTTCATGGTGACCAAATTTTTTTTAAAAATTATGAACATGCATTTAATTATCTAATCATCTTGATTTTACATTTCCACTTTTCTCTCCATTTTTTTCTTACCACAGCTCTTTGTCCAATCGTCTTTCTATTTTGCACCATCTAATAATGCTATTACTTACCAGAGTCTTCATATATCTAGAAAACCCTGCTTGGCATCTCCTGGCTGTTAACCACCATTTATGCTGAATATAAGGTATTTATATATGTTTTTATAGGTATATTTTCCCTGGGGTGAAGACTAATGCTCATCTTTAAAACTTTGAGAAGTGAGACTCTAGAGAATTCTTACTGATACCTTTCTTCATATACTGAGATGAAAGAGAAAAACACCTTTTATAAATAATTACTTTCTTAACTAAAAATTTTGGAATGTATATAAATTATAATTTTCATACTAAGTTATAAACTATGAGGCAAAACAAGATGTTATCTTTATTTTGTCCCATCATTCAGTCTATAAGATTGCATATATTTCTCTACATATAGAAATATATGCAGATTGATATAAATTGTAAACTATTAGTAGATATAATTAGGCATAGAGATAAATATAATACAGATAGCCAAATAGATATGGGCACTGATATAGCTACAGATGATCTATAAATTATTTTTCTCATCAAAAAGACATTTAATTTTTTATGATTTTTTTTATGTAGGAGTACTACTATTTATTCAGCCACTGATTAGCTGATTGATTTGGGCATGAACTTGACCTTACTTTTTTTTGTATAGTTTTATTTATTTATTTATTTTTCTTCTTATATTTATTTATTGAATCACTGTGGGAAAAGTTACTAAGCTTTCAGGTTTAAGTCTTGGTCATACAATGATCAAACACCTCTCCCTTCACTGGTACTCATTTTTCACCACGAAGAACCCCAATATACCCCCCCTCCTACCCCTCCCAATGCCTGTGAGGCAGATTATTTCTACTTAACTCTTCTCTACATTGACTACATTCATTAATTCTCAACAAAAGATGCACTATTATTGTTTAGAACTTCCCCCCCCCCAACAATCAGAATTGCTGAAAAGGCATTATGAAATACTTTGTTTTCTATAGCTGGTTATGAGACTCATATAATGATTTTGGATTTCTGCAAAGAGCCAGATAATTACAAGATTAGTTTCTGTACGTCTGGTGTTATGGCTATGCCGAAGAGCCAGTCACGGGGGACAACTCGTGACCTCAATAGGGCTTGAGGGACGAGCCGGTACCACCCCCCTTCCTATGAAACTACAGTTGCCTTGTCACTGCCGGCTCATACCTGGCTTTCCTATAAGCTCTGAGGCGGCAGCCGCCTTGCTGCTGTGGGCGAAAAAGGTGGAAGGGAGCAACACCTTTTCCTTCCCGGGGAGGCATGGCGCTGGAGTTTAACACATGGTCCATTCACTCTTCTGCTGCAAGCTGCATGGCTCTGGACTAAGTCCTTTTGCCCCTGGAGCTATGGCCGTTCTGGAGAGCCACTTGTGGGGGGTAACTCGTGACCTCAGTAAGGTGTGAAGGACGAGCTGGTACCGCCCTCCTTCCCATGAGAGTGCAGTTGCCCCGTCACCGCTGGCTCATGCCTGGCTTTCCAATAAGCTCTGAGGCAGCTGTCACCTTTTATTCGGTCCAGATTCATTTCTGCAAAAAGCCGCTGGGTTTCGAGATTTGTTTCTGAGTCTCTGGGATCATGGACATTAATCAGCTTGATCAGGAGCCAGAGAGGCTGTCTGTAGGCGGCGACTAGGGGTCTCGCTTGGATGGGGAGGAAAGGAAAGGGCCGGTTCCACCCCCATCTGGTGAGGCCCTGCATGTCTCGTCAATGCGGTCCCTAACCTGACTGTCCAGTGGCCTCTGGAAGATGGCAGTCACCGGGCCACCAAGGGGAACAGGCCAAGGTATGAAACCTATTCCCATCTGGAGTGGCCCAGTGCCCGTAACCTACTGCAGGAACAGGACACATTTCTGCCAAAAGACTTTGGGTTCTGAGATTCGTTTCTGAGTCTCTGGGATCATGGACATTAAGCAGTTCGATTAGGAACCAGAGAGGCCATGCCTCCAATTACATAGCTGAGCCAAAGGTGGTTTGTGGGTGTGTTCCCACATACCTAACTTTTGGCCGTTAACTTTCTTGGTAAACTTTGCCCCAAGTTTTTGGGGTCTGGCCAAAGGCACAGCAGCAATTTTGGGGTATCTAGAAGTCTGAATGCACCATCAGGCTGCTGATGCACTCGCCTCACAGGTACAGATTGATCTACTGGAATTAAGGAACAATTGCTGAAGATTTCTTTTGTAGTGCTATCGATTAAACTTGGGTTCTTAGACATGTGTGGTGAGGCCTGCACTAACCACAGGTAATAGGGTTTCAGTTATATTGTGCGGAGGGCCCGCAAACCACTCTCCGACCCACGGAGGTGGCCCTAGGGTCCATAGGTGCAGGGAAGGACCGACTGAGTGAACACAAGACACAAGAGATAGAGTTTAGAAATAGAGAGAAAAAGGGACAGCACTTTATTGAGGGATACAGGCTGTTTATATAGGGTTGGGGCAGCTCAGTCAGGAGCAGAAGCAGTATAACCATATATGGTAAGGTCAGCAACAAGAGCTTTACCTAACATTCAAGGTAGACATTTGTACATCAAAGGGTCTTGTGGCAGAAGGTGCATCCTGAGCTTTACATTTGTATATCAAAGGACCTTATGGCGGTAGGTGT